TTAAATCTGCTCAAGCAGAAAGAAAATTGCTGTAGAAAACAACTAAATCATATCGTTTAGTCCTTTTGTATCCAACAGTTTCCTTTACACTGACTTTTTTGTTACAGGCAACTGGAATTATTTTTAAATCCTTCTCCCAGAACATTATTCCCCACAGTATTACTCTCTTACCTTCATGAAAATAAGAATCACTCCTCTGAAAAGCCTATTTTCCTAAAGCATTTCAAATTCTACTAAGCTACTTCTTATGATAGTTTATTATATGAAGAAGCATTCATTTTCCTTGCATGGCTTATCAGGTGGGAAAACCTTGCTGTCAAGTTAACTGACATTAAGGATGCAGTTTTTAAGGTATATCCTTTAGGACACTGTAACTAAAGAGAGAACCTTAAAAATATAAAGTATGTTTTAACAGAATGGTTTCTTCTTTCTCTTTCATCTGTGACCCTCAACAGCAAATGCACCTTCTCACTTATTCACTGCACCTCTACCCAATCATTTCACTTTTGTAAACCCTTCTCAGCATGAGAAGGATTACACACTGTAATAAAGCCATAAAAAGGGAACAGAATCCCACACTCTGGTCTCTTTTACAGCATATTTATATTTTCCTCGCAGACACAAACCTTCTACCTGCAGAAAATCAAATGATGCTTCTATTTCAATAATTCATCAATACAACTCACATCTAATTTCTCAGCCATTCCTAAGTGTCCCAAAACAAACACTGCTATATTCTGATAAGGTACAAATCTTCTGACAAACAAGCCTAGTAAATAAACTACCCTGTCTGACACCAACTGTTTTAAAGGATTGGCAGTGGGTTTCTCCCCATACCTTTACCAGGTTTGGCTAATAAAAACTGTGTCATTTATAACTACACCTATGTCATAAATGTGTGGGATACTGTGCCAACACCACTCTCTAATCATTCATGACCAACAAAAGCCCAACCAGAGAATGCTCAGAAGGTGCTTGGGATTATTGACAAACACATGGTATTACGTAAAAATATTTAAAGCCAGCTTTGTGTCATCAGTAAACAACTACAGAACTATTGCACCAAAGAGCCCCAAATAGCTAAGAAGCAAAGCTACCATTTTAAATCAAGATTCCCATGAAATAAGATACAAACATTAGAGTGGCAAACTGCGGAAAAATATTATCTTTGGCTTACTGGTTTGCAATATAAACATACATCTCTTCCATCGAGGGAAACTCATTAAGACTTCCTGTTATGAAGTGGCTTGGCTTAAATAAACTAGGGTGGAAAACGATGTGTACACAGGCAGGAGGATGAGAACGAAATTAAGCAACAGAGTTCAAAAGAAGCAGGTTCACAGGCTGGAAAGTCAGTGACCAGAGCCCAAGCAGGTTGCCAGTCCAAGCAGATTTGCCAAAATGAGGTGGTTTTTAATCAGAGTTCCCTTGCACGGGGACTTAAAGCCCACGGTTAGGAGAGAAGCTACAGAACTTGTCTCACCCGACTTCAGTGGGGCTTTTGGTGGGTTGGAACATCTGTAGCATCTGGGTGAAACTGTTTCAACACCTCTTTAGCTTCACAGCAGAGGACCCGACTCTGAGCAGTAAAGATTAATTCACAGTGATTTAAGACAACACACGGGTGGGCTCTGATGGTATTAAGTATATTCACTACTGGTTCAGACATCAGAAAAGGACCTCCCTGCACAAGCTTCACACCAAGAGCAGCAGAGTAAGATCTGAAAGCAGAGAGACTTAAGTAGTGGATTTGGAAGGCCTTAAACAACTCACAGCAATAAAAACCAAATGCAAACTTCTACTCTGGTTAAGGAGGCTCCTATATAAACTCAGGATAAATGATCACTCAATAGAGCATCTTCTACAAGAAAAAAGATTAGGGGGTTGTGACAGGTTGTACCTGAATCTGAAAGTAACAGAACAAAGTCACTCATCTAAAAGGTAAGGTGAGATAAGCAGGTGAGTTACACTGTTCTTCATTCCCTGCATGACAGAACAGGGAGGCAAGAGCTACAAAGAAAAGGAAACTTCAGAATTAATTTCAAACGAACATTCAGCTCAAAGAGAGAAATTTTCTCTTCCTGTCACTTCTTGGTTGTGCCAATTCAGTAGTGAGGGCACACAAAGGAGGCTGATAATGTGACTGGGCTAAAAACCTTTCTCACAAGTATCAGAAGACAGCCACAGCAGTGCAGCTCCCGTGTTCCCTCTGGCAGAGAGTCACCATATCTTCCACAAACTAAAAACCTTTTCATAACCACATTTTAGCCCTCAAAATCATGAAGTTTGACTGATGTAATTGGCAGGTCAGCTGACAGCACAACTTTACAGCAACCGAACAGGCGCACACATAAGAAAGTGGCACACTGGAGTGTCACATCTTAAATAATTCTGCTTTAGGAATGGTCCTTTAGTCATTTGTAGATGAACAACCCCCAGCAAGGAACAGAAAAGGGCCTACTCCTCTTACAGCTAAATACTACAGAAAAAAACATTTTAAAATATTCTTTTTTCCACTGAACACAAGCAGGGTAAGATTTAGCTAGAAAGAGCAGGTCTGGGTCAGCCTTTGATTTAGCCACTTACCAAAAATTCTTATTCTTTGCATGTCAAATCAAATATTTTTCAAAGGAAAACAGCTTCTGTGCAAAAAGAGCAATTGTACAATGTATTTCTAGTGCATTACTTTAATTCCTTTTACTACAGAGGGTTTAGCACCATTAATCACAAGCAAAATATTAGAACATCTCCTTCTAGTGTCCCCTTAAAAAAAAATAAAAAGAGAAGTGACTCGCTCTTTAGAAGTTAAATTTAAATACCAGACAGCCATGTGTCTTAGGAGAAATTATACAGCTGCACACAGAGGATTACTGCTGTTCAAAAGGGACCCAACTGAAGAGACAACTCTCTTCAGCAGCCTTCAAGCAGCCCCTGCCTACAGCCACTTGTTTCTCCCTCAGTGCCACCACCTCTGTTGTGCCAGCACAGGAGCAGAGATACTCCAGCTTAAAAACAACCACGTCTCCTCATTTATTTTCCTTGCTGTATCAGTTCTGTGATCCAGCAGCCAGAAGCTGTGTCATCCCTCCAGCTCAGCAGCTCAGGGACAGAACAGCTGTGTAGGTGCCCAGGTGATTGCTGAGGAGAGGCCACGCTCTCAGCCACAAGTTCCTGCTTCTGTGTCACATCAGATCTGTCACAAAAAGTCCTGTTTGTTGAGGAAACTTCACAGGGTTTGGAACAACACGCCAGGCGTCTTGTATTTGACAGAAAAAGGATAGAAACATTCAGAGTTATCAGACAGGACAGAACTGGCCCTCCTGCACAGCCCAGCCCATAACTGAGAGCTGCTCCTATTCCAGTGTAACAGGCCCACATGGTGTGTGTGACCAGCTTCTCCTGCTGCTCGGGGAGAGGCACAAAGGAAAGTGGAGGGGAATGTGGCTGACAAACCCGGGACAAACATATCTAGCCTCTGTTTGAATGTAAGCATGACACATTGCTAAGTTTTTCCTCTAATCCCCTTTGGACACAGATTTCTTTTCTGCCCAGTCCGTTGTGAGGACTGCCTGCTTTCCTTCCACTCCCTTCTGCCACAACTGCAAGCACTGCATGGAAGTCTCCTGACAGTTCCTGGTTTAACAGTACCTAACCCAAGCCAGGAAGTGCAGCCAACAACAAGACTTTCATTTTCCTAGTCCCTACTTTCTGTATTCACTTTTTCTTGTCTACACTGAGTGTTCCAAGTTTAGATTCGTTTATGTAAAATGCATAAAGACACACAATACCATTTCCAGGAAAAAAAGGCACTATCCCGACAAATAATATCTGTAGTTCTTTGTTTTTGGATGCACAATCCATAAGAATTACCTATTTGCATCTCTTAAATCTAAAATCAACACTGTGTACACATCATATTATTACAGAGAGGTACTTTTGTTTGAAAACCGCTTAAGCTTCTATTATCAGGCTGCTGTGACTGACCAAATGCTACAGCAGTGAATACTGTTGCCATTCAATCACATAATGAGGACAGTTACACACATAGTTTTCACAAGAGCAATGCAATTGTTAACAGTGACTGGGACACTAAAGCATGCAAATACAGCGTGTGGCAAACGTCTGACTTAACCATAATAGTGTGACACCAGCACGAAAAGGCATCAGTGCAATTTTAATGTAAACAGGATCTTGGTTTTTAGATCGGTCAAACTGTAAAACACGTGACGCTGGCGATTCCTCTTCCCTCTCCCACTTTTTGTTAACAGCAATGTCACAGTCAGCGGAGTAAAGGCACTGGGCTGCTTTTCCACTCCTCAACCCAGAGAGTACGACCTACAGTATGGGATAGAGACAAATCCACCAGAACTGTTCCACGTTGTTGGGACTCCCCCATCCCAGGGTTGGGGCCTCCAGCCTTCCCTGCCTTCCCACCACACTCTGAGCAGCCACACAGCTCTGGGGCTGCTCCAGCTCCCGGGTATGGCCCTCCAGGCCAGCGTGGCACAGCACCCTGCGACCGAGAGCGGCGTGTCTGCCTTTGCTGCCGCTGACACAAGGTCCACCTGCGGTAAAACAGACCAGCCAAACCCGTGACTTCTGCACATCCCAAACCCGAGTGACACTGCACACACCGCCTACCTCATCCTGCCGGTTGAATTCAGAGCAGGACACACACCCCCGCGCCCCCGAAGCGGTACATTGTATCAGCACGGGTGCCGACCTTAGGAAGGCAAGTTTCAGAAAGTGCGAGGACTTGCACCGCGGCCCCCGAGGCCTCCCCGCCCGGCCCCGCTCGGCTCTCCCGGCCCCACAAAGCGCCGGCGCTGCGCTCCCGAGGCCGCCGCGGCCCCTCCCGGCCGGGAGCCCGGGACAGCCCGGCCCTTCCCGGGATAAGCTCGGGGCACCGTAGCGTGGCCGCAGCCCCACCGCCGACCCCGACCCCTCCTCGGGGACACCCCCCCCGCCCGCTCCCGCCAGGCCGCGGCCCCGCCACTCACGCATGAGGGTGCTGAAGGCCACGACGCCCAGGAGCCCCTGCAGGAAGATGCCGAATCTGTCCATGAGGGCGCCGTTCTCGCAGCCGCGGTCCCCGGGCCCCGCCGCCGCGCCGGGGCTGGCGGTGAGGCCGAGGCTGGCGTTGGGCGGCGGCGCCCCCATGGCGAGGCCCGGCCGGCGCCCGCTCAGCGGCGCATGGCGGCCCAGCCGGCCCCGCCCCGCCCGCGCGTCACCGCCCGCCCGCCCCCGCCGCCCTCAGCGCCCCGCCCGCGCCGCGGGGACCGCGGGGACAGCGGGGACAGACCGCGGGGACAGCGGGGACAGACCGCGGGGACAGCGGGGACAGACCGCGGGGACCAGCGGGGACCGCCCGCGGGGACAGCGGGGACAGACAGCGGGGACAGACAGCGGGGACAGACAGCGGGGACAGCGGGGACCGCCCGCGGGCCCGCACTGGGACCGCCTTCGGGCCCCGCGCCCCCGGCAGCAGCGGGGCTTCAGCCCCAGGGCCTCCCGCTGAGGTTGGGCAGAGCCGGCTGGTGAGCGCGGCAGAGGAGGGTCCGAAGCTCCGAGCAGCCAAACGCCGCTTGGCTCCGGCATCCAAACCCTGTCTGGCTCGGGCACCCAAACCCTCCTGGCTCCGGCATCCACAGCGATTTCTAAACCGCACTCCAGCCCTCCTAGAGGAGGTTCGCAGCACTCCTCGGGGTTCCCAGCCCTGGGTCGGAACCGCAGCACCCGAAGGCTTCGCTTAACCCAGATCCCCGCAGGGTCAAGCAAGTCTGACCAAAGTAGAACGATAAAATTAGGGCCTGGGTTCTTTAGCGAAAAACGTTTGTTCTTTAAGAAGCGCACAATGGATAAAACAGAGCACGTCAGATCTTTCATTTGGGATCTGCACCTGTTGGCCAGTGAGCCTTGCCTGACCCTGTCACGCCACAGCCCTCTTCTTCATCACCAAGCAGAACTACATCAAGTTTAGGGTCTTCTTTTCAATGTGGGATCCACCCAGGTCACATTGCATTGTATTTTTTTCTCATGCTGTTTCTGTAATATTTTAAATCATTTAAAATCCCAGCCTAAGTATGAATTCACTTATAAGTACCACCCAGAAAGTACAACATGTTTTAAGTCTATCAGAAAAATAAGCTGAGCACGTGAAGCAATAGCTCTTCAAATAACAACATTTGTTGCATTTATCTCACAACCCACCTACGTGACTGTCCTTCCTGGCAGGCAACACCAACACTTTTGGCACATGACACTGATTTCTCTGATACTCAGGCTGTGCCATAAATGTCTGGAAGCTGCAGCTAGAAAAAGAAATGTTTTCAGTTCCCTGACTTACAGAGCACACAGCCCAAATGCTCTGTCCAGTGCCTCTGGCCCCAGGTCAGTGCTCTTCTGCTCTGAGCTGCATCAAAGGCAAGAGTTCAGGAAAGCAAATAGACAGAAAGGACAAGGACCAAAGCAGATTCGTTGTTCTCCCCCTTGCACTCAGGGATCACAGCCACCAAGCACTGTGACTGTGACCTATTTACTTGTGGCCTGGGGACGGTTTTTAAGCTTTCACAGCACCTGCTGAGCATTAAATGTCCCACACACACACCTGACCTGGTCGCTTACACCGGTTAAAGATTTACCTAATGCTATTTACACACGAAACTTGTGTTTCAGACATGAATCCGGACACATAACTTGCAGGGCTTATGCCTCGTGGTACTCCGTGTTCCATGCTTTAAAATAGATCATTCCCCCAAAATACCTCTTCGAGGGTTCCATCTCCTCATGACTCCTATAAGCCCTTCTGAAACCTGTGTCAGACAAGTCACCGCCTCCTGCTCTGTGCTATTCACAAGCCTTCAGATTTCCCACAAGCAGGCAGTGCTCCGTGGAGGCGAGTAGCAGATTTATGTTAGATCCTGCATATTTAGAGATGTTTAAAGACAGTGTTAAGCAAATCAGTTTCATCCCACTCCGATGTGTTTTCTGCACCCCGTGTAAAATCAGCTCAAGGTAACTGAAGTGCAGCCAATAAACAAGTGCTGAGGAGCACACGAGTACAATCTGTTGGAAGGCCAAGTACGGAAACAAGAACTTCACAAGGCTGACCTGTTTCTGAAACATCCTGTGGACTCTCGTGTTATTCAGAGGAAGTAAATCCAGCTCTTTGTAAAATTTCAACTTGCTGGGGTCGTGTAAACCTTTACAAAACCATCCAGGAGGAGCAGCAGCACCTGCAAGGTTTGCTTCACATGGTACCAAGCAGCTCCTTATGCTCAAAGAAAGCAATAAATTACCCCAATTCACAGGTCCTGTCCTCGGCTCCTGTATTTTAATTAGCTTCAGCACCCTGTGAAACAAAACCAGTTACCTCACAAGAAGGCTTTGATAAATAGGTCTCCTGCATTTGAGGGAACTGAATACAACCCAGTCAAGATCTTTAACATGAAGCCTGTGCAAGTGGTATTTATGTGGTTTGCATTTATCTTTTATGTAAGTAATGGAGCATGCTAGACAGCTTTCCACACAGTTTTGTAAGATGTGACATTTCTCATGGTAAGCAGCAGTATTTATCATATTAATACCAAAGCCATCAGTAACAGTTTAAGTATCTTTTTTAATTTTCTTACAACCACTTAAAACTGTCATATAACACAAACTTTTGTACACTATTTACAGACAAAACAAGCAAAATATCCATCCAAAATAGTTTTTAAAAAAATCCTCTGATTAAATTGTTACACCTGCTCAAACAATGGTGGGACTTAATAGGCATATTTTCTTGTGCATGTTTCTCTTCCATGTAGTATTTCAGTCTCACTGCATATATATATATATATTTTAAAGTTAAAGAAAGATAAAACAACAAGCAGAAGGGACACAACACAATATGCATTTAAATCTTTGTTTAAGAACAAGCAGCTAATTAAAAAAGGCAAAATACAGGAAAAGTGCATCAGTTCCAATGAGTTAGTATAAGAAAGAGGCCCACAGGTGGGGAGCTGGTACCCTTTAGGGCAGAGTCTCCTAAAAGACCTCTGATTGTCTATAAGGATTATTTAAAATTCCTTTTAAACAGAAATAATAATAATAATAAAAAAATGAAAGAGGAGAGGAGAAACATGACACCTCCAGATTATTTTTTTTTGCCATGAGGTTTCTTGGAAACTGGTGCTTAACAACTTTCAGAGTGGGTGAGGATTCCTCTGTGCCCGGAGCTCACTGTTCATTGCCGAGCTGTGCCTGGGTCAGGCCTGTTCCTCTCGGACTGTGCAAGGCCAGAGGGCTCCCACAGACACCGTGTTTGTGCTCAGTCAGTCAGACCTACTGCCTCTGAATTTGGTCAGTGCAACACCTGCTTGCTTCCATGGCTTAAAGCTGAGCCAAACACTGCTGGCTTTGCACCCAACAGGGTAAAACTTTGTCTTCTCATCAAAAGTCCATTTACGCATCTGGTGCATTTCAGAACAACAGATGCCACTTGAGGAAGCGACTGTGGAGACCAAGTGTCATCAATCTTAATTCATTTTTGTTGTGTTTCCTACAGATTATTATTAATTGTTTTAGAAAAACACGTAACAATAAAAGAGGCTTGTTGTCTCTGGTGTTCCCAAGTCCCATTCTAATCTCTCACCCAAAAGGCTGCCTTTGAAAACAAGGCTACACACATGTTGGGGAAGGGAGGCAGCACTCTGAGCTAAGGGTTCAGCACACAATCCCTTTAAAGAGGAGCCTTCATCATACACCTGAAGTCTCCTGACCGAGCCTATGTCTTTGTGCTTAGTTACTTTTAGGTAATTTGAGCTCACAGTAGGCAGTAACCAGTCTGCCACTATGTGACAGGACTAGTTAAGGAGTAGCTTTGTACAGGATCATCGCATTTTTGGCTTTCTGGTAAGGCTACTTCATCTAGTAACAACAGATTTGGTCCAAAGGTATCCAGTCTCCAGTTTGAGCTTGATAGTTTTGAAGCCTATTCCGTTACATTCAAAAATCTCACGAGCCACTTGGCTTTTTGCAAACCATGTACCGAGTCTTTGTACTTTACACAGAAGAATGGAGTGCTCAGTCCAATCGACTGTAAATATATTTACAATTCTGTGGACCTAGCAGCTAAATACTCCCTCCCTCCTTTAAAGCATCACTGGAATAAAGAATAAACACTAGCAAATCCTAAAGCAACAACAAAATACTGCTAAAAGTTGTGACAGAGAAAGTAATCTTAAAAACCACTCCTGAACTCTGTATGTACTGTTTCCATTAATCCCAGGAGAGACTGCAAACACTCCTGGAGTACTGTACAACACAGAAATTAATCTGCCTTTTATTTCATTGCTCAAAGAGGAACTTTCAGAAATGTTTCGAGTTAGGAAAAAAGTAGTCTTCATTCACCAAGATCAGTGCTGTACCTCTGCTCTTCTGGAAGGACTGCTTTCAGTTTAGGATGGACTGCAAGCTGCTCATGCTTTGGGGGATAATCCTACCACATGAACCTTCCATGACGTTTCTGGAGGTTGAATACTTCTCCATTACAGAATCCTTGTGCTGGTGCAGAAAGCACACCACAGTAACCAAACAAAACCTTTCTGCCTAACAAGGCTAAGCTTAGCACAGCACAAGTGGCACCACCAGGTTTCTAAAGCTGTGGCGTGCAAACCCAAGGCTGCACAACACGTATGAAAATATGACAGGCAAGAATACAAACCCTCAGTGGGTCAAGCCAAGGGTAAACTCCCTTTACCAGCCCCAGAAACAGCACACAAGGCCCAGCGGGGAGTTCATTTTCTTGTGCTGAAGATAATGGCAAGACACCACTGCCTTTCTCCCGGACTCCAGCGTTGTCGTACGTATGGTGAACGATGTGGTAGAGGATGGCACAAATTCCTGAAACCCAAATTACTGCAATCCCAGCAATTCCTGCTGGTGAAACATTGCTGGCACCCAAAGCCAAGATTCAGCCACCAGCTAAGCAAAATCCAGTTTTGAAGAAACAGAGCGACTAAAGCCCCACGTGAGCTGATTTCAAGTCATGTTGGAATAAGTTGAACAAATAAGTGCAGTTGTGTCATCTGCCACGCATAGAGAAAGAGGAACTTGAAACAGAGTCAAGTAGAAACACCATCCATCAAGATAAAGCCCCAATTATCCCTTTTAAATTC